ACGTGATCCTGCTTGTAGGTTTGTCTAGTTTGATATCGAACAGTTATCAGCAGATTGTTAATTAGACAGGCTATTGCACCAAACGTTTATGGAAACGTGATGGTGGAGAGATAATTTTTGTTCACCCATGTCTGTAGGGCAGAACATTTTGTTAAGTTACGGCTCCTTATGGTCACGTGAGGTATTACGAACCAATGATATTGATGCCAATTTATTATGCAAAAGACCTCCTTAAATCGTGTTTGCGACGTTGAATTGGTTTTACTTACTACCGAAAAGTCCGATTACAAGCAAAACTAGACAATTTGCTAAAAACGAGGCCTGCTCATGACCCTATAGAATCAATAAAAATAAAAATGAGCTGAAATAAATTCAACAAAGAGGGAGATAGCCATCTGTGTGTCAGAATACTGTTTTCAGTACAATATTTTAAAACCATATAATTCTCTACTTTCAGCTTCTTTTTGAACCACCTCCAATAATACAATTCTTTGTCCATTCATAGCATATTTACGCTTGTTTTCTTTAACCTATCATAATGCTCTTGCTTAAAAAGTACCTTAATAATAGAAAATTAAACTAAATAGCCTTACCCTCACTATCTAACCATAAATGACTCAAATTCAATAGGCTTGAACATTGTCTGCTTCGCTTCTCGTCCTCTCTTTTTCTTACCCTCTTTTTCAGTCCTCTCAAAATATGCCACCGATAATGCGTATGGAGCAGGTGAAATTATCCTGCGCCATCATAGATGCATCAGGTGTTCCAGAGGGATATAGAGTCACGGTTTATAGAAGCTATCGAACTTATATGGATTTAATCCCGACTATCAGTTGCAAGTCGCGACTCAACCTCCATAAAGCGTTCCAACTGTCATGATGACAATACGAATCTTAGCAAGAATCTTAGTGAGAAGTTTTATACCCCATAATTTCATGATCAATGTACCGCATAAAATATCAACTTAACTGGGTAACCCATCACATTGAAGACTGTATCTTCTGTAACAATTTGAATTTGTCTGTACACTGGCATACTGTGGTGTTTGAATGAACTAATGATCTCTTTGTACTTGTTGAATACTTGATGATAATCAACCGGTAGTTGGGTCATTGAATATCGAACAAATCATCAATCCTCTTCGAGGTCAAGGCAGCCAACGCGCATCGGTTAATCTTACGCCATGGACTGGCCCATGCGGCAGTGGTCTTACCTTCGCTTGTATCTACTTTAACTGATATATTTCTGTAATAACGTCCTCTATGTTGTACAGTCTTCAAAGCATCTATAGTACCTTGATACGTCAATGGGGTAATCCATGTGTGACTTCGACGTTAGCTAGTTTGTCACACTACTCACGTCTAACTCGAGTAAGCCTCCAATCATTTCGAAATAGATCATCTACGCTGGTGATCTACAATGTTAAGCAATTTTTAGCGTTTATATCCAAGTACATTGCCGCTTCTCTGTTTCACCTTGTTTTCAGAATTTTCTCTAAGGGCACAGCTACGGAACTTGACATACGCGTCTTCTCAAGGTCATAGTTTACACCAAGCGCTCTACAAGTCTACTTTATAACAGCTGCAAACATAAAAAGTTGTATCGCATAAATACTTAGAACGACCACAATTCTAACACAGTTATGCCGAGATTGGATCTGGTGTACAACGTGAACGCGATGCCACTTTGGGAAATATTTTGAAGGCTACTCAGTGTAATGCTAAGGCATAAATCTAATCATTAACGCTCCAAGACATCTGCACGAATGAAGTGATATTGACTTTTATAGACTATATTAATTTATCAGCCCTACTTGATATGCATACTGTGAGCCAATAAGTGTTGTAATTTGTAAAAATGGCGTGTACCTGCCCTTGCAGAAATATATTATTATTATAAGTAGATGTTTCTACACATGTTGGTTTTTACCCAGTAATATGCAAGCTGTTAACTGTATGGGTAACCTTCCTGTTTTCAAGTGCACACATTTTTTAAACCCCAGAGGTTAAATCTTACCTTATATTTTTCGTATTAAATCCAGACAACACATCATATACAAAGATGATGAAACTGAAGGCAATCTTCGTTGTCTATGTAAGTAAATCAATTATAGGGATACTGAGATGTGGAAACACTAGCTGCAAACGCTTTCAATGCTTTTCGGTTTTTGCGATTGCATTCTTATGTATTACTTCCATTTGCTCCCATAACTGAGACGTCGACAAATCTAAAAGCCGACAAAAACGTGTAAATAAATTCAAAACATGACTTTTATAATCTATTACAAATATTTTTATTATGTTTTCCAATCTCTGCACAATAATTGCATGTTAAATACCCTTATTTTGACTGCGAAGCTACATAGTCAGATAGCTGATAGAGCGTCTGCGGTTTAGACTGAATATTATTACAAACTATTCATACGGAATGAATTAACTTAGGAAGTGCTATTGTAAGTGGCAAACAGGAGCAAAAGAACATAGTTATTTGGTATTGTTACGCCGCGCGTTTAGTCTTGTCATTATTCCATTAACCTAGGCCATAGATAAACCAAGCATATTTGACTAGACTGCGTAATTTGGTGGATGTTTTGATTCCATATAGATGCAACATGAAATTATCTAAACAATATAAGTCTTAAAAACATTTTAAAGAACTCTAGACACCTGACACTTGCCCACAAGCCTCTATTGCGAAATCTTTTAGTCTATTACCAATTTATTCAACAAAGAGAAGATTAACTTTAGGTTTGTGATCTAACGCAGGCGAACATATGACAGGAAAAACTAGCAAATCAGGAAATTTCATTGGATAAGCTACGAATTACATTGAAAAAACCCGTTTAAAATATGTTCTGTAATCTCTGAGGGGACAGAAAAATGGACTATATGGTGTTCTATATTAACATATCAACATGTGATTTGCCTCACTACTCATTATAGACCATTCCACAGATCCACTCTCAACTAAACTGAATCAATTTGAAAACCAGTTCTTCACAGAATTTGAATGTTATAGCCTCGAAGTGAATTGACTTAATGACCATATTTGATTTATGGCGCTGAGAATTCTTCATGTCGTTTTATTATGCCAATACGTGACCTTGACGCTTTTGCATTTGGTTTTGTGTAGGCGCGTAGACTCATTCTGTATGCTGTGATTTGGCCGTCTGAGTGAGTCGGGTCTGGTTTTATGGTTGGTTTGTATCAGTAAAGAAGAATCATTTGATTGGTGAGATTTCAAGTCCACATAGTTGTTTTGGTTAGTACATTAGGTGCAGTGTATTATAATCCCAATATACCTTAAGATTTTCCAATTAACAAGGTTTTTGGACACTATCCATTCCTACTTGATCTTTGTGACGGTATTTACTTGATGATGCTTCTCCTTCTAAGTATCAATGTCTCGAATCGTCTTTAGGTATACAGGCGCGTTTAATCAACCGTCAATGTGGCACATGCTTCCCGTGTGTATGTGACGTAGAACTTCGAAATTCTTCAATTATTTAGATTCGTGACGCATAGTGCGTTTCCATCGCCTAAAAATGTAGTCTATTTGTGGTTATTATCAAGTCCCATAAAGCCTTGGCGCTATTTGATTTTTCGGAGCATATTTTAGCAACTTGTTTTGTCAATGGACGCCTAATATGCTCCACCCTTCCTATCGACCTTTAAGTTAGTGTTAATGGATACTTTAAGTATTTCAAGTGCTATTTTACGTGCTATTCTACTTGAAAAATCACATTATCTGTTGATTAGTATCCAGGAGACATTTACTGTGTGTTAGCCCAAGTTCACACGCGACAGATTCATCTCGTGATTACGAGATATCGCAATTGAAACCGATGTGCGCAATGCGCCAGGTTTGACGTTGTGTATGACTGACTGATCCACGACCGATTCTACCAAGTTAAAAGTTTTGTTTATTAATACACTGTTCTTTTCTTAACCGGGTAAGCGTATTCGCTTTCTTGTAAATACTAAAATGAGTCTAACACGGTTTTTCCTTTTTTTGGATCTTTCTCCCCCCATTTTTACTGCTTTAATTATACATATGCATGGCCTTCCTTATGTATTTGTACTGTCATCTAATTTTTTGTGGTGTCTCCTAATACTTTACACAGTAAACTTTTAGCAACAGTAAATTCTTTGTTAAGTTTCTGTGCTCAGATTCAGTATATTCTATGTACTAAGTTATTTTGACACTTGGAAATTAGTGGTGTTCGCCTTTGTACCTACTGACTAAACTTTCGTTTATGTTTACGGTAGCATTTCCAATGCTCATACATAATGGGTCAGGGGTAATATTCGCACTGAATCTGATCTGAAAGCTGGTGGAAATTGCTTTGTGCTTCAGCAGTGCAATTCACATTTATGGACTAATCACGTAAATTCTTTTATTTTTTTTCTCATAATTTTATCTCTTGAGATAGTATGACAGTCTGAACCAAATACGTTGCTTATGACTGATCGACTGAATTGATTCCCTTAGGAAGCGTATGCTACCCAAAGCGTGTAGATGCATCATACAAACACTCAATCTTATTTCTATAGGGTTACCTTCTAACTTTGGTTCATAAAATAGTATATAGTTGCGTTTCAAATGATATTATTTCATCTCCCAAAGGATTATTGACCAAAAGGTATTCATGAGTAATCTTGTTCACGTTGATTTTTGCCATGTACTCGAGGTACCAACTTTCCTGTTCCATTTACAAAGGCATCAAATAATGCTTTCACAGTTAAATGAGGTCATCCGAATTATTTTTGAGCCAATGAGTAAAGAAACGTTGCGCGTATATATTATACTTTTGTTATTTTATATGTCATCCGTTGTAAAACGTGTGTACCATGTGGTCGTCGAGCGACAACATGAGTTTGTTAATTTGTTTCGCGCAGTTCATTATATCCTGGTTTTATCGTTACTCTCGCTATCGTTAAGTATATCCTAATAATACATTTATGCATTCTGTTACAGATTTTAGCTCTATTTATCTATCTATGATTAAGACAGCTCATAGCGTTTCCAATTTACGTTCTAATTTGGAATTGAGTCCATGTGTTATTAAACGTACACAAAGTTCTCATTTCGTGCAGGTTAGTTACTAGATATCTACTTTCGTTCTTATTGTTTCATATTTCAGTGGAAACATTCGTTTCCGTTTTGATATCACTATATTTGTTCATTCAAAGTTGAAATTATTTTGGTTGCTGTCCCTAACCGTTTAATATTTCTGGGTCACTTTAAATTTTAGAGTCAGCGCATAAAAATACGTTTTTTCTAGTTTCCGTTCAACTCCTCATTGTAGTCCTTGAATCGTTTGGTAAGATTAATATAGTAGAATTTTTAGTCCAAGAGCTTTAAATGTTTTCTCCAGTTCCTTGAGTAGTCCAGAGAACCCTTAGTAATCTAACAATAACATGTTATGTCAGTAAAATAATAATATACCCTTGTGGGCCAGGGTTTGGGCACCCAAGCAGTATAACAGCCCTCACACAAATCAATTGAGATTCGTGTAGCGCATATGTATTTGGTGCCTCCTTGTACCAATACCTATGTGTTAAAACAAATAAATAATAAAATGTAACTAAAATACCTGTGGCTTTCTCATCTAGAAACGGTCTCGAGAAAGTGTACACGACTTTATGATCTGTGCTAGAAGTAAAAAGTGTTTTATCCTTCCAGAGTGAATTCAAAATATACCTTTTATTCTGAGTAGAGTAGAGTAACATTCAATTTCCGAATAATGACATCCGAAATACATATATTCAGTTAACTGTCGTCTAAATAATAAGCCAAAAACAGTAATGACTATATAGATAGGTTAAACCATCACCTTACAATAACAATATATAGTGCACAGTAAGTCTTTTGCAACACGACCATTCGGCTAGACTATAATTTACAGACAAACCAATCAGATTTGCGATAACATGTCTTGAATTTTGGTGCGAAATTAATTCATTCATTTGTCTAAACAAAGTTTTGGTATTATAGCTGCTGTAAGTTCGTGATAAAAGCCCTAAATCTAATTCCTAACCCTGACTATCAGCTGTAAATATTAATCCTAACTCCTCACACTGGTTTATAATCCTCATTTAGCCATAGTATGTGGGTGGACATTCTCAAGGTCTTTTTAGCGTCTCTCAAAAGTCCATAAATTATAGTCTCATCGATTATTATATCGAAGCAGAAAAGATGATTAATGAGTGTTCATGAAGTTGAGACACTTCAGATCCGCAAAGTCAAGGAAAACTAGCAAGCGAAAGGAAGAAAAGCGGAGTACTAATAAAAATGTCAGCAGTTATAAGAAAGTAAAAGAATAAAGACCTTATGTACAAATGAGACCAGAAAATCTAGGATAGAGAATAGTAGTTTCAGTGTATGTTGGCTATTATAGGAGGCTTTAAGTCATCCAATCACCGAAAGCTTGTACTTAGACCAACATATAGCGTCTTCGCCGACTACTGTAATGTTTCAGTGTTGCTTCTGTTAGCACGTTTTCCAATCTAGTCTTATGATAAGGAGGATAAAGCGAAGAGACAGGTCATTGGGAAATTGTGCTTGAAAAAATCTCTTAGTTTAACTTCTTTGGGTTCGATATAGCCAAAACTTACACTCTCACTAATGCATGGTCCTGAAGAGGCAACGATCGTATACAATAATATATGTAATATTACGAAGATAAAGCCTTTGAAAGTATATATAGTCAAATATACAACAACATCACAATTATATGTATAAATTTATAAATGATGAAGTTTGTCCTTTATAATTATCAATGAGGTGTGGCATTATATTTTCTTGGTCTAGTGATTAGTAGTTAGTATAACTTGACTTAATATGTATTGTAAGATGAGTCATAATTTCGGGTGTGACTGATGCATGTATGTAAGTTGACATGGTCTCGCCTTTAATCACTAATAAACAAGTGAAAATCATAGATATCAGTTGTAGTTTTTAACCAACATTATTTAAAGTAACAACTCATAGGAAGAAACACTACACGAAAGAAATCCCATTTGTATATCACGACAAAGTAACATTCATAGTGAGAAATCTAGACGAAATTATTGTGAATATAATTAAATATGGGCAACTATATTAAACCACCGCCCAATCTAAGTTTTTGAATATTGTATTGTTGTATTTTTGTGTAGGCTTCTTAGTCATGATCTGGAATGTAATCTTTATTTATGCTTGGAAATTTTAAGTGACACGACTCAAAGTCTATCCCAATAGCCGAAATCCATTTTTATTGCTATTGTCTGTTTTGTGTCCCTTGAAATTATTTGTGCATAATGTCTTTATTCTCTTACTTTCCCATAATTACTAGGATTATCATCAGTATTCTGTCTTTTTGTTTCCTCGTGTTAGTTTTCCTTGAGCATACTGATTTGGGACATGGTAACATGTGTCTAAATTTTTTTCTGCTGTTCTGTATCTGTCTGTTTTTACAGTGTATTCCTCTCCGAGACATGGTTTAATACTACGAGTAAATGATTCAGCTCTGCCGTGAAGGGTATCAACTACATCCCTAATGCATCGTCACTTGTAAATTTCTTCTTAATTCGGTTTATGAGTTAACTTTAACCTTTTCAGTCTGTAATATATTACAACCACTTTTGTTACTGATATTGAATTGTTTAGTAGCACACACTTATCAGTTGTCCAATTGTCAATGCTTTGTGAAATAAGTTTTTTAAAATTCAAGTTGCTTCCCAATTTTAGAGTTCAAGAAATTAAAAAGAATTAATGTTGACAGTTAATTTTACACGCCCCCAAATGCCCTGGTACGGCCGAGAGTGGGGAGAGTCCGCTCCCCCTCTCGAAATGCTCTCATATGGCCACGCGTATACAGCCCCTGCCAGGGAAGTCCTACTCACTGCCTTCTCGTGGCGAGGGTGTTGTTTACGAAAATGAGAGGACGAAAAGCGAATGTCCGGCGCTTTAACCGGATCCCAAACCAATGGTGCACATGGGCTCCAGTATCCTGCCTGAAGGAACAAATGGCGTATGAACCAATCGTTGGTCACCGGCTACCTGGGACTGCATCTCCTCACGATGCTCCACTGCCTTGTGGATCAGACGTTCAGGTCGAAGGCTCGGGGTGTGGCCCCCTAAGAAAACCACCTGCTTCGGTTTGGGCACCCGGGCAGTATCACAGCCCTCACACATATCAAATGAGATCTGTGTGGCGCATATGTATTTGGTGCCTTCTTGTACCGATATTTATGTGTTAAAATAAATAAATAAATAAATTAATTAATTAATTTTACACAGTACTCGATCTAACAGTCATTGTTTTTCGGATGATATTCACCTTAAAATTCTGTTTTGTCGATCACTAACATGTAATGTAGGGCAATAAGAATTAATCGTGATAATATCGGTCCATTAACTTGTTTGTACATGTCTGTGTAGATTCATTGCTTTCTTTTAGCTTGATATGTATGCAATATTTTTAAAATAACTCTTGTGATTTTTTTTAATTCTCAGATACTTGACGAATCTATGTGTGTTGTTCGTGAAGATCTCACGGAATGGTTACAACACTATTTATTTTCAACTGCTAACGCATGTCCCATAGAAGCACATTATCTACTTTGTCGTTTAGCATCAGGTCTGTGGCTTTCTAGACTAGCTTATAAATTACATTATTCGATTTTGGAATCAGGTTATCAAATTGCATTAAAGTCGAAATCAACACATAATAATAATAATAATAATAATAATAATAATAATAATAATAATAATAATAATAATAATAATAATAATAATGGTCGTTCATATGAATTTCTTAGAGGTGCAGTATCCAATCGTGACTTAAAAAATCTTACTCCAGTTTCATTACCATCATTCCCCTCCACATTAACTGATTGTGCTAAACTACCACTTGGTCCGTCAGATCTCTGTTCCTTTTCATCAGAACCTACTACTTATAAACGTAATTCAAATATGTCAAATTGTGAAATGGATTTTCCTAAAGAAAATGTCTCAGTGAAATCTCGAGTTGCTGATCGTTGGATAGCTCGTGATAATGTTAGTGCGTTTATTAAATGGTGCAAAGATTTGGGTGTACCAGAAACAATATTATTTGAAACAAATGGATTAGGTAAGTTTATTAATTCATATACAATTGTGTGTGCTTAAATTGAGGAAAATATTTACTTCCGATAGTTTAATAGAATAAGAGAAACGTCATACTTAAAACTACTTTGTATATCTAACGGGGCCCTCAAATAAATGTTAATTGTAGTTACAAGACATCAATAACTTTAGAGATAGGTTCCTGAGAAAGTAACATGAATCATAGAAAACTACTGAATGATTGAGTAGCAACTTAAAGCTGTTTTGTCCTATTCAGGACTACAAAACTTGGGATAATTGTTTTGAATCAAAGGTTGGGTTTTAGAACCAGTGCTTATCCCCAATCGCGTGCAGTTTTGAATTTAAACTATTTAAATCTCTTCATGATGAGGAATATCTTCCAATCAGTTGATTTCACTTATTCATATGTTGAGTAAAGATTTTCTTCGAAAAGAATTTTCACTTGATTAATTTATGGAGCCAATCAATTTGAAAGTGAGGATAAATAACCCTATCGGTGAAACTGAGTGATATTATCAAAGTTTGACAACTTGTAGCTCTTGACTCAGAATTCCTTTCTATCTAATAACTTCAATATATTTATTTGCATAATAAGACCACATATTGTTTATACTTAATCAGTTGTTGTAGTAAACATTATAGGTTATTTTGAATGTGTTTGTTTGTCTTTCACTATCTTTCCAATAGTAATATTTTAGTAGTATCAAAGTTGTTTATCATTAAATTTTCTTATCTTTATTACTCACCATGATTACTCAGAGTGTTAATCAAACACAGGATTGACCTTCATTAATCGATTCACTATAAATGAGGTTATAAATTTCGAGTTAGTGGATTATTTGATTATTTTAAACTGGTTCACACGATATTAAAGTGAATTCACTAGCGTTTCTTTTATTGGAAATGCAACCTTTTCCTGTGCTATTGTTAGTCATGGGTTCTGGTCATGATTGTCCTTATACAGGTAACTATTCAGTCAGACTATTGTTTACTGTTAAAATCATGAACCGGTCTAAATTAGACCGCCATTGAAAATCTGGAAGTAGTGGGTTGCCTTTTCGTTCTAGTATAGGACTCCCCATCAGTGCATATTCACGATCCCAAACTAAGATGAAACGCCCGCCGCCGTGGATTCGATCGTTGGTGCGATAAGAATGTAGTCTTATGTAAGCAACTGTGAGGTTTACTCCAACTCAGCGAACGAAACCTCACTAAATTATCCACTTAAACTACAAACGTTTCCCAATATCCCAACTTTGAAGTCCAATGTGAAGTTTTATAGGAACAAGGTCAGTAAACCGTCACTGAATAAAACAGTTGACACACGTTCTTCATTGTCTGTTACTGTTACAACGGAGACTCGGATTGATTGTCTGAGTAGCGTAGTTTTTCCTCATAATGTCGTCGAAATACTAAATATTGATAGTTGTAAACTGTTATTACTTTTCATTTTTATTGGTTGCTTGAATCCGCCCATTGATGTTTAGGACTGAAATTGATCGGTCTGTTAACCAACTTCGATTTTTGCTTATAATGCTTGTGACTTAAGGCAATATAGAGGCAAGAAGATTCAACCAACCAATATAAATGAATTAAACTTCACCTCATTGTACAATCTAGTGGCTATCTGGATTCAGTAGCTAGATAGACAACGCAATGTTTGAAGTGGAGGGTACTTCTTTCGAGTCCCGGGGTGAACATCACCTTCATCAATAACATCAGCTTCACTCAGCTGACGAATACCAAATAGGACGAAACGCGCCTTATGGGTCCCACTGCTAGCTACCAACCATCTCTGCCTTTTGTCATTTCTCATCCAGAATAATTCTGTAAATTATTGTTGATGGCTTATTAGTAACTTATAAAATGATAAATATAGTCTTAATTAGAAATAAATATTTTTACTATTCAACAACGTACATCATATGACTACATTCATAAGTTTGTGAAGTCTATTCTTTAAAGTATAAAGTAGGTGTATAAAAGCAGTCTGTACTTTACATTACTGTTAGTTTTCTGTTTTTTTCCAAAAGCTTAGTTGCTACACACAAATTTATCAGTTAACGTGATCTCAAAATAATAAAAATTTGTATACTACTACTACTACTATTGTCTGCTATTTTTAACACCTAACAGACACATAGGGAATATGCTCTAACTAACTACTAGCTAGTCATAGTTCGTTGTTATCATCAATCAGCTAATACATAGATTTTACTGGTTTAATTAAATTTAAATAAAAAGGTTTCCTATGGAGTAAGTAATTCAGTTGATATTCAGTTATTGAAACATTGACTATGTTGGACCCAATCTTCGATATTTAAACTCAGTTAGCTTGATTAATTTTTATACTGTGAATGTAATTTGCAGCTCAATTTCATTAATTCCTACTTGAATAATAAGTTTTATATTGAGAGGGTGTTACGTATATCCTTTTAAAAATTTTTATATCGATGATGTTTTGTAGGACACCGAAACATTTGCCTACTGTATAACGACAAAGATTCTATTTTATTGATATCAAGAACCCATTTAAGTTAGATGGTCATTAATAGCTCGGAAGCATTGGATGGCCATTTCATGAACGGTCATTTCTGAGGAGTCTTATACTAGGACAAAACGGTCATCTAGTACTTTGTGGTTTCCAAATATTGTTCAGCTTAGATCTTTTAGTGATATCAGCATACTATTATGTCAGTCAGTCAGCTGCAACGTAGGACCAGGCACATATATGCATCGGTTCAAGTTGCCATACCGCATTAGCACAAAACGATGAACACTGGATTCATAGAAGTAGTTAATCCAGTGGTGGTAATATATAGAAGAAAGATTGCATATAAGGAGATAGTACAGGATGAAAGAATTAGTTCGTAGAAAGAAAGATATGAAGTGATTTTAATCTCTTAGATTAAAGGAAGACAGAGAGTGTATACACCGACGCCATTGTGATCGATTCTGAGCCATGTTACAAAGAGTCTCCAACCATTGGTTACGATAGTCATGCGGACCCCAACCAAGTAGTCTGCATCTACCAACATGGCTCAGACCAGAAGTTAGTGACTTCAAGCACTGATGCCACGTTTTGGTTTGGCCGCCCCTAACTTTCTTCCAACCATTTCCAACACCTGTTAGCATTGCGCGCCGTGGTAATCGGTGTTCAGGCATACTCAACACGTGGCCGAATCATCGCAGTCGATGAAGATTCATGACCTCATTAACTGATTTACCATCAATCTCTAATACCCTGAGTCTAACCTCACTATTACTTACCCGGTGATCCCAGCAAATCCCAGCAATATTTCTAAGGCATCTGTGATCAAATACTAGTAGCTTACAAGTATCTTCTACTTTTAAAGGCCATGTTTGCAGCCGTATAGTAGAACGGAACCAACTGCTGCGCAGTATACTCGACCCTTAATTGAGAGACGTATATCTCGCCTTCGCCATAGATGACGTAAGTTGGCAAAGGCCAAACGAGCTTTTCGAATCCGTGCTGAGATTTCGTCAGACACCAACCCATTAGGGCTGATCAGACTTCCAAGATAAGTGAAGTTGTCAACGCGTTCGACTACTTCACTCCCTATCCTTAGTTCAGGTGTTGACGCAGACCAGTCCTGCAGCAACAACTTGCATTTAGAGGGAGAGAAGCGCATCCCAAACATTCTGGCATTGTTTCTCAGGGCTACCAGAAGACTGCATTTTATCAGCGTCTTCACCAAACAGGACTATGTCATCTGCGTATTCTAAGTCAATAAGTGGACCTCCTGGTAGGAGATCAATGCCCGAGAATTCAGTTGACGAGAATGTTATTTCCATCAGTAGGTCTATAATGAAGTTAAACAAAAATGGAAAAAGTGGGCAGCCTTGACGGACAACATTTGAGGTTGCAAAAGCAGATGACAGTTCGCCATAAGCAATGACTCGACTAGGAGTGTTCGAGTAAGGAGCCTTCATAAGGTTTATGTACTTCTGAAGTACGCCCTTCAATGACAGACACTGCCACAGAACCTTCCGTTCTACGGAGTCAAACGCTGCTTTTAAGTCAAGAAAGACCACCATTGTCGGACGCCGATAAGTATGTCTGTGTTCTAGAACCTGACGAATGGTGAATATGTGGTCTATGCATCCACGACCAGGTCTGAAGCCAGCTTGATTCTCTAGTGTTTGCAGTTCACGAGTCTTAGTTAGGCGTTCGATAATTATCGAGGCTAGTATTTTAGATACTATATTAGTTAAACTAATCCCTCTGTGGTTGTCACAGGATGATTCTGACCCTTTCTTATATATTGGGACGATAAGTGATTGTGACCAGTCACATGGGATAACGTCTAACTCCCAGATTTTAGCTAAAATATTAGTCAATCTAATCGCTAAAACTAGTCCACCATTCTTAAAGACCTCTGGAGCTAATCCATCTGGACCTGCTGCCTTTCCTCGTTTCAGATTAACTATAGCCTTTTGAACTTCAGCTAGAGTTGGGGGACCTACTTCAATGTTTCATTCACATTGTCTGGGAATGGAGGGTAGTTGTAGAGTAGCTGAAGGCCAGCTGAACTGTTCTCTAAAATGTTCCGCCCATCGTTCTAAACGTCTGAACTGGGAACTGATGATAGTGTCGACTTTTTCCGAAATAGTCTGACTTACACTTGACTTATTAATTCCAGTTTCTTTTATTATTCTCTTAATCTGTCTTGTGTTGCCTATAGCTGCCGTCTTTTCCATCTCTTCTGATTTCGTTGCCCATCACTGCTCGTGGTCGTTCCTTAGACTTTTGGTTAACCTAAATCTGACTTGTTTACGCTGTTCATCGTGTTCAGAACCCGACCGTTGTTGCTACCTTGACGTGGTGGTCGGGCTTGCCCATCGTGATGAAGCAACTGAGCTATACTGGCTAGAACAACCGTTCCCCAAGGTCCTACCATGTCAGATAGGTCGGTTGAAGAGCGGTAAGACTAAAAGCAACAAACCCAAGGTCCGAAGGCGAAGTCGTACTGCTGACTGCACAGAGGTGTGACAGCAGTAAGGTGTTTCCTTCAGACAACCAGCATGACAGCGATTCTGCCTTCCCACAAGGAGGGGTGGGGTCAGAAAAGGTCGACCCTAAAAATGCACACCTCGCCTTGTCCCACGGATATCCGTCTCCGGCGGTAAGATCTCAACAAGTACGGAGCTAACACAAAAACTACTCATAAAAAGGTCGTGTGTGACCGACCTCAAGCAGCTGTTTTTGGGCACTGCGGTCACGCTCTCAGTCCACTAAGACCACCTCTAATGCGATTTCCTTTTCAAGTACCTCCAGAAGAACCCTTCCACGGTGTGGGCGACCGGGAAGTGATAACCGCCCTCATACCTCTAACAGCACTCAAGACCACTGTATTCATAATCAACCTCCCTCTTCAATTCCTATACTATTATGTAAAGTATGTCTTACTCTTACTGTTACTCTCATTTTCTATTTCTTCATTATTCAACTTTGATAATCTTATCTTACTATATATGTTTTAATATGATATGTGACAACTTAAGACAATATACGTTTGTATTAGATTCTCCGTTGATTACAATCAGTTGATGTATAATAGTAAATAGTTAATAATTCTATAATATATTTATAATTTAATAAAATTAAACTAAAATATAGTTTTCATGATGAACCAAAAGTTCTTTGTGATTAAGGAGAATACTATAGAACTAAAATTGATTTTAGAAGATAAGAAAACATCACGTGATAAATATAACTTTAAGTAAATTACTTTTATATAAATTTTATTTGTATAAAAATTACTTTTTATTACTACATTAATGAACTCTATAATGATATGATTAATGGTATAATATATAAAATAAAACAAAGACATCAGTTACATATTATTATTATTATTATTATTATTATTATTATTATTATTATTATTATTATTATTATTATTATTATTATTACATTAACCTATTAATTACACTCGTTATTTGAGAAGAATTTACAATATTCTTTAACTATTAAACTTACAATGAAAAAAGAACAAAATAAATAAATAAACAAAAGCTTAAACAAGTAGTTAATTATATCGTTTAATTATATACTGAGAAACATCCATTTAAGATATATTTCGAGGTTTATATATATAATGTTATATCTTGTCGACAAAATCATTTACTTAAGTTGTACATTCGCACATATAGTTACATGGAAAATATAGGTCTTTCTTTTCCTTTGATTAGTACGTAACCTCATTTGATAATAAGAGTTTCGAATCAATTTATGATGCAATCTTTTCTATCCTCCTATAGACCTATATTTTCCATATAACTATATATACGAATGTACAGCTTAAGTAAATGATTTCGTCGAAAAGAAAATCTTTTTCGCTGAATTATGTTTTTCTTATTCAATGTCATATCTCCTACTCTTTTTTTCTAATGCTATAATCGTGATTGAGTCATTACTTAGGATGCAATTTTGTAATTTAATCTTACTAAATATGATTATTTTTATACTTCATTGTTGAATAGTTATGTATTCAATGATTAACATAAGATATAACTAGTTTGCTACCGATTTTTATTAATAAGATGGTACTGTTTAATAACTATCGAATGATATTAATTGTATTATCATGTAATAATAATAGTAATACGCCTCCTTAAAATTAAATCTTTAATTCTGATATATTTAGTAGTGATACATGGATTAATTACATAGAGTATTCGTTATCTATGCTCTTTATATTCTATTATAATTACATGTAATTTACCTTTATAACACATACATTCACAATAATTAACAACAGAGTGTTTTATTTTTGTATGAGAAGTGCTAACTAAACTACATTGCTTTTCTTTCCTTTTGGAACCTACACAAATGTTACGCATAAATGTTCAGTTTTATTTTCATATTAACACTATCATATGATTTTAATAAACCAGATGATAAGGTGGTATTAAGTAAATATTTAAAACGTAGAAGTTTAATTATTGTATACTTTAGTAAATTAAGAAATTTTCACAGTAAACTATCATAATCCCCAATAACAAACATAATTAGTTATATGATAATTAAGTTAAAAGATTAATATTTTATCATTTCTGTGTGAAACAGATCTAAATTAATGTACACAGTATTGTCAGTCAGTCAGCTACAACGTAGGACCAGGCACATATATGCATCAATCCAATTGCCAATACCGCATTACCACAACAAGATATTCTTGGGCTAAGGCGAGGTGTGCATTTTTAGGGTCGACCTTTTCTGACCCCACCCCTCCTTGTGGGAAGGCAGAATCGCTGTCATGCTGGTTGTCTGAAGGAAACACCTTACTGCTGTCACACCTCTGTGCAGTCAGCAGTACGACTTCGCCTTCGGACCTTGGGTTTGTTGCTTTTAGTCTTACCGCTCTTCAACCGACCTATCTGACATGGTAGGACCTTGGGGAACGGTTGTTCTAGCCAGTATAGCTCAGTTGCTTCATCACGATGGGCAAGCCCGACCACCACGTCAAGGTAGCAATAACGGTCGGGACACAGTATTGTCACATATAATAAAATTAGTAGATTGATTAATCATATCAAAATTATGTGTTATTTTACAATTGAAGTACATAACAAAAGAAAAATGTAAAATTTCATCAACTTAATAGTGTATCCATATCATAAGTTAATATTTGAACAATTCAAATGATATTTCATACGAATATTCGTCAAGATTAGAACTAATAGTTTGACAGAAATTGGGAGCCGAGTATAGAAAAGCCATTATATATGATAGTTGTGCTTATAGTTTCTACTGGAAAAAAATTCAATTTGATTTTTTATCCTTTTCAAAATGATTTTTTTCTTACATTTTCTTGAACGTATGGTTATTTGCTTACATCAATTGATTTTTGGCAAATTTTCTTTAAAACAAAAAAAAACTAATTAGGATTAAGATACCGATGTTTATTGTTTCTGTGAGAAGTAACTTAAATATTATAAGGTTTATAAGAGGTATGTTTAATTTTGGATAGTTCACAAGTGATAGGAAAAAGTATTTTCCTGACGTCATTTAACTAATAGGACATAGAAATTAGATGAAAATTTTATGTGTTGTAGATTCTATCAGAAACACCATTTATTCAAAACTCATTTCTTTCTCATTTGTTCAAATCCATGAAGTCACTGACAAGTGGACTGAGCCGTGTTGGTAGGTGTAGACTACCTGGTTGGGATCCACGAGACGATAGCAACTGATGATTAGAGACCTTGAATGACATGGCTCAAAATCGTTTGCAATGGCGCAGGTGCATCCACTCTTTGTGTTTTCTAAACTTCAATCTCCTGAATTCTTCATTTCCCTTCTTTTTTCTCTTTCCAAATTTATTTCACTGGATTATACTTCTTGAATAACATCTTCAAACCCTAATCTTTCCGACTACTATTTATACTCTTACCACCTCTACCACTACGGAATTTGAATCGACAATTGTATCTCTGTGCTAATGTAGTATGGGAACTCGAACTTATGTACGTACGTGCGAAGTTCCACGTTGTTACTGATTGACTCGCTGTTCAAAGTACAGTCTGAACTACATCGTATCAGTTGTGACGCATATAAGATTAGGCATTTTGATGTTGTACAAACGTTTAAAAACTTAGGGAAAACTTTTCAGGTTATTACATCATATATGAAAGTACTTATCAGAATATAATGTGTGCTTCCCTAAAATTACTCTTTGAATCAAAATTAATCTACTTTAAGATTGAAAAAGTCAATTGTATAGGTTATAAATACTCATAAGTATGTAAAAACGTTATTGTAGTAACATATTGTTGATTTACTTGATGGCTAATAAGTGGTATCGAAATTTCGAGGTCACTCTTGCTACGATATTTCAAAAATTGTTCACTTGTCAAATCAAGCTTTTCTGTATTATGGGACTGCATCTCCTCATGATGCTCCACTGCCTTGTGGGTCAGACGTTCAGGTCAAAGGCTCGGGGTGTGGCCCCCTAAGAAAACCACCTGCTTCGGTTTGGGCACCCGAGCAATATCACAGCCCTCACACAAATCAATTGAGATTTGTGTGGCGCATATGTATTTGGTGCCTCCCTGTACCTATACTTATGTGTTAAAATAATAATAATAATAGTATTATGATCAACTCATTAAATTCGAAGAATACTACTACAACTAAATTTATTCCATTAATTTGCTTAACTCTTAATGTTTTTTCATCTAATAATATTTTTATCTTTAGTGAATAAGACTGAAGAGAAAAATGTTTTGCTTACCCTAATGGAGGTTGCACGTATTGCAAGTCGTTACGGTCTCACTGATCTTCCGTACTTAGTTCGTATGGAACGTGAAATTGACGAGTTGGAAGCAAAACATTCACAAAATCAAAGTGAAATAAATCATTTATATCATGGTAACAATAATAATACAAATCATTTTACTACTCATGCGGTGATTAATTTGGAAAGAATTGATAATGAAAAAATGGATAATTGTAAATCTACTTCTAACTTAGAAATAACCGTAAATAAACGAAAGGCAAAATCTCAGAAATCTTCCAACTTCAACACAATTTCTAATGATAATCACACGAATAAAAATTCTGTAAGTTTAAATTTTTAAAACATTTTAGTAGTGAATTTGTGACTTGTTGTGATCCTTTGTTCTAAACACTTAATCTCTTGCCAAACAATTTGTGAGGATGCTATTGAATTCGTAAAATTGGATTTGTTGTTAGTGTTTTCTTAGGTTCTGATAAATAAAAGAATAAAGCATGGGGTAGTTTTATATTGTAAAATTGTATTTGAAACAGGTAATTATCTTTGGGGTAATATATTGAATATCCACTAACTTCTTCGATGCGTTACGGAGTTCCTGAGAAGATTGTCAACATTATCCGGAACTCATACGATGGACTACAGTGCAAAGTAGTGCATGGAGGACAGCTGACAGACGCATTCCAAGTAAGGACCGGAGTAAGACAAGGCTGTCTACTCTCTCCCTTCCTGTTTCTTCTGGTGGTCGACTGGATTATGAAGACCTCGACATCTGAGGGAAACTACGGCATACGATGGACAGCTCAGAACCAATTAGACGACTTGGACTTCGCAGATGACCTAGCCCTCCTATCACATACACACGAACAAATGCAGATCAAGACAGCCAGCATAGCAGCAGTCTCTGCATCAGTAGGCCTCAACATACACAAAGGGAAAATCAAGGTCCTCAAACACAACACGGAGAACAGCAATCCAATCACTCTTGATGGCGAAACTCTGGCAGATGTGGAATCCTTCACATACCTGGGAAGCATCGTCGATAAACAAGGAGGTTCAGATGCAGACGTCAAGGCGAGGATTGGCAAAGCTAGAGCGGCATTCCTTCAACTGAAGAACATATGGAACTCAAAGCAACTTTCAACCAATATCAAAGTCAGAATCTTCAATACGAACGTCAAGGCAGTTCTACTGTACGGAACTGAAACTTGGAGAACTACAACAACCACCATCAAGAAGGTACAGGTATTTATTAATAGCTGTCTACGCATGATACTCAACATCCATTGGCCGGATACCATCAGCAACAGCCTTTTGTGGGAGAGAACCAACCAGCTTCCAGCTGAAGAGGAAATTAGGAAAAGACGATGGAAATGGATAGGACATACATTGAGGAAATCATCAAACTGCATTACGAGACAAGCGCTAACTTGGAATCCTGAAGGGAAGCGGAAAAGAGGAAGGCCAAAGAACACATGACGTCGGGAAATAGAAGCAGATATGAAAAAGATGAATAAGAACTGGAAAGAGCTTGAAAGGATTGCCCAGGACAGGGTTGGATGGAGAATGCTGGTGAGCGGCCTATGCTCCTTCACGAGGAGTAACAGGCGTAAGTAAGTAAGTACTTCGATGAGTGATGAAGACGGGTGTAGGAGTGGGTTATAAGCAAGGGGTGGCTAAACCGAAACATGATGTCAGTCTATGTTGATAGGTGTAGGCTACCTGGTTGGGATCCGCGTGACTATCGCATCCAGTGGTTAGAAACCTTGGGTGACCTGGCTCAAAATTGTTTGCAATGGCACAAGCGCATCCATTATTTCTTTTCTCCCAAATCCTAGGCCTCTTAATTCCTCATGATTTTTTTGTTTCGCTATTTTATATTCTCTCAAATCGTTTCTTTGATGCCTAGTCATTTCTGTTACAACTAATATTGCTACTACCTTTTTTACCCTGGGATTTTCCTGATGTTTTCATCTTTCTGTGTTAATTGGGGCATGGCAACTTAAATCGATGTACAAGTGTCCCAGGTTCCACGTTGCATTTGACTATCTGACTGATTACGTTGAGTTTAATGAATTTTATTAGGGAACTCTTGAACTTCCTGGTGCTAAGTAATTATTGAATATTCTGATTACGTTCTTGATCGTTAGACTTTAAAAGTATAGATGAATGATGGAATTCCGATAAAGTGATTGAACAAAATGATATACAGATAATGAATAACTACTCACGAAACTGAGTCTATCAACGTTGTTCAATCACCGAATGTGGAAATTACCGTGTCGGGATACATATTAAACATAAGTGAATTTTCGAAACTGTCCTATCTGAATTTATTGTTTATAACTTTGTATAACTATTAAATAATTCAACCATTATGTTTTTGTGTTTCTCTACTTCTCACGCTTTGTCTGACACAAATGATTGTTATGTGTTTGACCTTTCCTGAATTGTCATTAATTTATTATGAATTTATCACTCAGTTGTCTTCCACTTGTGACATATTTATGTCAATATTGTAATTTCTGAATTCTGTTAATGCATGACCATGATTTTTCTCGGTATCAGTGTGTAATTGATTCATGCATTCGAACTGTATAATTAGAGGTTGTCTGCTTGCTGAATCCTGGAGCCCTTGTGAACCATTGGTTTGGAATCAGTTTTCCAACTTCCCTAGGTAAAACCTCCATGTCCACCAACCCGATTAAACCGTCGGAAATTTGTTGGTTAATTACATCATCCGGTCGTCAGTCAGTCAGCTACAAGCTAGAACCAGACACATATATGCATCAGTCCAAGGTGCCACACCTTATAAGCACAACAAGATGGACGCCGAATTCACAGAAGTAGTTAATTCAATAGCGGTAATATATAAAAGAAAGATTGCATATAGAAATATAATATAGGAAGAAAGAATTAGTTCGTAGAAAGAAAGTAATTTTAACCTCATGGTTTAAGAGAAGACAAAGAGTGTATACATCTACGCCATTGTGATCGATACTGAGCCATATTACACTACACTAGTCGTCTTCATCTTTATTTGTTCGTGTGTATGGGATAGAAGGGCCAGGTTGATTCCAATCTGTCCATTATGTTCCGTGCTTTCCCTCGGATGTCGAGGTCTTCATAATCAACCACCAGAAGAGAGAGGAAGAGTGAGAGTAGACAGCATTGTCTGACTCCGGTCCTTACTTGGAATGCTTATATCAGCTGTCCTCCATACACGACTTTGCACTGTGGTCCGTCGTATGAATTCCAGATGGTGTTGATGATCTTCGCAGGTACACCATAGTGTCGAAGAAGTTCCCATAATGTTCTGTCTACACTGTCAAACGCCTCATAATCAATGAAAATGTATTGTGACGAGTTTCACTCAGCTGATTGTTCGACGATGATCTGTAGTATCGCAATCTGGTCTGTGCATGACCAATCCTTACGGAATCCAGCCTGTTGATCTCGAAGTTGGGCGTCTACTGCGTCTTTAATTCGGTTCGGCAACACTATTGAAGACGTTCCATGATACTGACAGTAGTGTGATGCCTCTGTAGTTCTCACATTTACTCAGATCTCCTTTCTTTGAAATCTTGTTGAGGTGTCTTTCTTTCCAGTCCGTCGGCACTTGTTCCTCCTCCCAAACCTTCTTGAATAGAAGGTGAGATATGTTTCTAGTTACTTCGATGTTTGACTTCAGTGCTTCAGCTGGTATATTGTCAGGTCCTGCTGCTTTCCCGCTCTTGATTTGTCTGATGGCCATCCTGTTTTCTCCCGTCGTTGGTGGAGTGACATCTATAGGAAGGTCTGTATGCGCTGCTTTGATGTTCGGTGGATTCACTAAAGCTGGTCTATTCATGAGTTCCTCAAAGTATTTTACCCATCTGTTCTTCTGTTCTCGAATCTCAGTGATTGTCTTGCCTTCTTTGTCCTTGACCATTCTCTCTACTTTACTATATTTTCCTGCTAGTTTCTTCGTCGTGTCATATAACTGTCTCATATTTCCTTCTCTTTCAGCTCTTTCCTCTGTCGTTGCTTGCTCTTCTGCGTATTTCTGCTTGTCGGCTCTAATGTTCCTCTGCACTTGCTTGTTTGCTTCTGTGTATTCAACTTGTGCCTTGACTTTCTGTGCTCGTGTTCGGCTGTTGTTAGTTTCTGCCTTTCTTGAATCTTGTTCAGGGTTTCTATAGAGATCTATTCCTTATGATAATGCTTCTCGCTTTTTGACCCCTTTCCAGTTGTCCTCCATAGTAGTTTCTTCTTTCAGTAAATCCTCTAAGACTTTGAACCTGTTGTTGAGAGATATCTTGAATTCGTTGAGTTTGTTAGTATCTCGCAGGAAGTCTGTATTGAACCTTTGTACTACTGTTTCCCCTGCTGTCCAATGTTTCTTTAGCTTCAGTTTCATCTTGGCAACCACAAGTTGATGGTGATCTGAAGTTATGTCAGTTCCATTCCTTGTTCTGTCGTCTCTCGTTGACCTTCTGAATTTTTTAGTGGTCGATCTGATTCTCTGTAGTGTGATCCACTGAAACCCATGTAGCTTTGTGTATGCGTTTTTGGGGGAATATTGTGCCACCAATAATCATTTTGTTGAATAAACATAAAATCACAAATATGTCCCCATTCTCGTTCCAATATCCCAATCAGTCCATATCATCCCATGATATCCTCATATCCGGTGTTGTTCATTCCGACTTTGGCGTTTAGATCTCCCATCGGGATGGTGAGGTCCTTTCTTTGGCCCTCCGCTATGATTGATTGAAGCCTCTCATAGAAGTGGTCTTTATTGTCGTCGTTGCTATCATTGGTGGGTGCATAACTTTGGATAACATTCATCGTGGTCCCCTCCTTTGTTTTGAAGGATGCTTTGCTGATCTTGGGCTCATGAGATTCCCATCCTATAGGTTCATTCCATGCTTTTTTGGACAATATCAGAGTAACTCCCTGAGTGTGTGGAACATTTTCCTTTTGATGACCGGAGTACAGCAGCATCTCTCCCGTATCTAGCCTTTGCTGTCCAGCCTGGGTCCAATGGGTTTTTCTGGTTCTAAGTACTGCCATGTTGTATCTCTTAATTTCCGTAGCTATTTGACTGGTCCTTCCGGTCTCCCACATTGTCCGAAAGTTCTATATACGTATGAAAATTATTGCTCTGGTAGTTAGAAATGACATCAGCCTCGTGACTTCGAAGAATCTCGGCTTTCATCTTGAAACATCATAATTCTCCCTTGAACTCGGAGAACAGAGTTTAAATCATTTATTGTTTAATCTGGTTGGTGTTTTTTAGCAAGTTTTTTTCTACAGGATGGGGTTGCTGCCACATGCCTAACCTTTCTCCTTAACTCAGGCTTGGGACCGGCAGTAACTCTAGAAGAGCTACGTGCGGAGTTAATATTATTGCTGATGTAAAATTTAGGTTGTTTCCAGTTGATGAGAAGAAGCCTTGAAATATAATGAATTCATATTATTCTTCGAAATCTTGTTTTTTGACTTTATCTAAATTTTTATGAAGAGATCCAAATGTATGACTTATCACATATTTGAAGATTTTGTTTTATTTTATTTTCGTTTAAGAATTGATTTGCATACAATATAAGCACTAAATTGAATTTTTTTAAAGTCAAATTTAATAATCTTTTATTGGAGTGATTTACTTTCGATTTTTCTATCATGTTAAACAAAAATTTAACTTATAATTAACGTCTTTCTTAATTAGTTTAATTAGATCTACTCAATGAAGTTATTCAATATCATGTGTGTATTCCTTGGTAGAAAATTTATCATTTTACCATTATATATACATTAAAATAAATAATTTATCATGATAAAAAGTAGTATAATTTGATCTGAAAATTGTATTTTAAGTGTTTCATAACTGACTGTAAAATGAAGTAGTTACTAACCATCAACTGTTCATTCTGTTAACAATTAGTGCAATACATATTTACAATGTAATTTAATTTGTACTAGAGACAACATTTACATCAAGCAATAATGCTAGTACAACTGTTTATTAGAAAACTAAATGTATGCTGCATCTTGTTATTGAATCTCTTCTATGTAGTATTGTATCTCTCTTTCTTTAAAAATAAATTCTATTTCACACATCACATGAGAGTAAAATCATAGTACAAGATTCGTTAAATTACTTATACTAACAATCACTTAATTTGCAATGATTTTTAACTGATTGCAAATTGTCATGAAGAAAGTCATCTTGATGAATTGTAAAGTCAATCCTTTTTCTGCCATAAGTTATACCTGATATTGTAATTTGCAATATCTATGTTAATTATTAACTTGAATTAATTTTTGTTAAATTCTTAAGTAAACTAATATATCATATGATATTATAATTATAATTATAATATTAAAATTCTCTCAAGTCATAATATATGGGCGTTTTTTTTTTAATATTTTCTTCTTGTCATCCATAAATTATTCCACCATGTTACACATAAAAATATAAATTAGGCGTTTTTATACAGTACGACAAATTAATGGGGACTTTTTTTTACCAAAAAAAACATGCTTCTTACATTTCGGCTATTGTATCTTTAGGCGTGAATTTTTCTCAGTATTATTTATCATCAGTACACATTACACCCTGAATAATCGTGCAAAGTATGTTCTTATAGAGTATTGAAACTTATGTATTGTGTACTTTTGTATTTTTGATAATTCGTATGCTAGAAACACGAAGTTTAGCAAAAGGACCTCTTCTGTACAAATTTATTATCATATTGTACAATCATATAAGCATTAATTCTATGTGAATATATAAATAATGAATAAATATGATATAAATGAAGTAAAAGGTTGTATGTGTTCCAATAAACATATGTCTTGTAAAATTAATAAGTTAGGAATGAATGTGAATGGTGTAAATGAATTAAAATCTCCAGTGTTTCCAAGTTTTTAATATTTGTCTAACTTAGATCGGTTCATGATTGCAATAAAATGTTTTAGTCACAGTAATCAAAAGCATCAGAAGAGCTAATTAAAATGAAGTGACATCAGAATTAATTATGAATAAAATCACGATGACATAAGAAATAATTAAAAAAGAGGGATATTTTCAAATGCGAAATCATAATAATGGTTGAAGGACACGGTGAAGACAACGATTAGGCGTATATAACGTTTAGGGTTCATTTCGTTGGTACTAAGAGCAGCTACCGTTTTAAGAAGTTGAATGTGAAGAAATGAGATGGTGGAAAAGATTTGTAGTTCAGGTGGATGATTTTGAAGAAGTCTTGGAGGATTTGAACACATTCACTTATTGTTGTTGGTTTACGTAAGCTAATAAATTACTTAGTTTGGAGTGGGTATTTAGATTGTGTTTTAAAAAAAAAACAAATGCACCTAATAATCCATCACGTTTTACTTAAATGTTTGATGTCGATAATAATTTGCTACCTGACACATTGCACTGCACAATGATTTTTTTCGTTTGTTAATGTTCTTGTCTTGTTAAGACGAATAAGAAGTGAGTCGAAAGAATAATGACAAATACTAAGCATGGAGAAAATGACTGTAAAAGATAAAAAGAAAAGGTATGAAGGAGGAGTATCAAAACTTACGATGTAGAGTAAGATTAAGAGTAAATCCAACTACTCTGTTGTGACCGATACTAAACCATATCATTGCACTGATCGTGATTATCACTCGAACCTAAACCAGGTAGCTTGCACCTATCAGCACAACTCAGACCAACAGTCAGTGGCTTCATGAATTGATGTTATGAGTTGGTTTGATCATTTATAGCCCTCTTCCAATCACAATGCTTACACTGGCAAACATCATCCGTCTTGGTAGTTAATAGTTTGGAATTCCAATATCATCTGTATAAGTCATGCTTTACTTTGACTGTTTACTGTGCTTAAAGTTTTACTGGTTAATTTCTCAATCATTTTTTTTGTTTTCCTGATATCTGTTCAGAATAATTTTAATGCAATTCTAATTGATTCACATTCTACAAGTCAATTTATGAACAATAAGAATAGTAATAATTCTGTACAAACATCTACTGATAATCAAGATATTTCTTGTGATTGTAGTGTATCATTGTTATCAAATCATTCTTCACGAAATGATACTTCAACTAATAATACTACTACGATGTATACTAATTCACATTCAGTGAATATACACAATGTATATAATAAGAATCAATGTGATCTTTGTCGAAATGGTTCTTCTCAAGTTGATAATCCGATTAGTAATAATCAGAACTCTACCTGTCATCATCACGCAGTATTTGAAATAAAGAATTCAGACAATTCAAATTCTGCTAAACGTTCAAGAGCTTTAAATGGCTCTCTTATATCTTTAGAAGATAATAACGATGGTCTGAGCAAGGTAGTTACAGATCAATTTGTACAACAACAAGTAAGTGTATACACGTTTTAAATCATTGATGAACTTTTTTTATTTTTACGAAAGTTGGTGTGCACTCGGAATTATTTTATTGCTTAATTGTGTACAGTGTTGTGCAATTGTATTATTCATTACCGGTAATATAAAAAAGCATGTACACAAAACATGATTTTCACATTATTGGTAAATCTTTTTCATTCTTTTTGTTGATTGTGTTGGTGTCACTATTGAATATGATTACAATTTACATTTATTCTAGGGTATTGTTTTTTTCTTAAAATCTATGTTTTTTTTATAATCTTAATGTGTAAATGACAATTGTGTACTTTAGGTGCTTATATCTTGATCATCTAATGTCTTTATTGAAAAACTATTTTGTGTGTACATTGTTTTTTTCCAGTGATTAATCGCCATCATAGATATCGGTCTTCTTTCTCACTTTTAACCGAAAACGACATAAAAACAAAATCATCTAATACATCCATGTGAATTACAAATTTTTCTACTTTAGAGTATAGACTGATCTTAATTAAAAAACCATTAACAACTGAGAAGTATTAATTAGGTATAGTACCTCTCAGTAGTATACATCCACTTACATGCTTAACTTCGGTTAGTTCTCAATATTGCGCAACCATCTTCTAATAGTACTTTTGGGTAACTGGCTCATACCCGACGTGGTTGATTTCTACTGGAAACCTCTCAAAATAAATTACTGATCAGCACATGAGTTCCGTACTAGGATGAAACATTGTCTAGTGTTTCTTGGTTTTCGATTTTCGTCTAACCATGATCTGTCTGTGATGTAAACTATAAAGTTGAATGCCTCTCATACTATTTATAAATTCTTTTTACTATCTGTGAATTTGTTAACTGTGATCTCTTCTTGAAGAAAAATTGCAAATTCCCAATTTATCCTTAAATGGTAACATTTGTATGCCTCACACATTACATTCTTATGATTTTCTTTCATCTAAAACAAGTGGTACTCGTTATTTGCCACTAATCTATGGTGATATTATGTATATCATTCAAGTTTTAGGATAATCCCAACTAAGGTTAATTAAATTTTTGTTGACCTTTCTGTAAATCTAGTCCCGAATAAAACTCGTGCATTACATTAATTTTTTTGGTAAGTATTCACAATTATCTATCTATTACTAATACTATTCATACTATTACAAATATTTACTAAACTGATTGTTGTCAGTTATGATCAATATATGAAACTGTTGTCCATTTATACCATCGTTTTATATCTCAATAATGAGAAATTGCATTTGAATGAAATTTTATTATATTTAAGGTTAGAATTGTGGAATTTGTTGTTGTGTTTTTCTTCTCTTTCATGTATACGTATTTGACATTTTCAAGCTTACGCTGTATGTGAGTCTAACTAATGGCAATCAAAATGAAATATGCAATAAATAAGCCTATTAATCAGTTCCAAATTGTAAATATTAGAGTAATGAATACTAGTATTTATTCATTCTTATTGTTGTATTTTGTGTCTGAAAAATTCTACATGCCTAAATTAAATCTATCGGTTTCAGTTCTTAATTTTTTTATTTATTGTTTTCACAATTTATTATTATTATTATTATTTATAAATGCCAAATCAATCTGTTAATCATAGTATATGGGAAATAAGGAACCAAATCATAAATGGAAAACATTTGAAAAGATTTAAATCATATATCATGTATATAAATTTATCGCTTAGTGGTAATATTTATTACTTATCACTAGTATTGAATACTCGTTTTAAACCGCTAAATGAGATGGTATGTATCCATTCAACATCTTTAAGTTGTTCATCTCGTAAATGATTGATTATTTATTCTTGTAGAAAATAAGAGATAAAGTGGATTTCTATTGGTCGCTTTGTCTACTTTTAAGCTTTACAGCTAGAGGTTGGTCACACTGTGGTCTATTCTAGATTATATGACCTGACAGTATTGAATCCATAGTTTTAAACATTTTTCATCAGCACTAAAAATCTCATGGATTGTGTAGAGAGTAAGACAGTATTTTAAATATTGCTTACACCATAGCTTGATGTGTTGTATATCTTTAGGGAAATACTTTACTACTTTCAGACCTCTTGTACATTAGTGGATTTAACACTCAACTTTCAACCATTGTGCTAGTCAATTAGTCAGTATATTTTGTACGGTAACTACGGGTCAAACATGTACATACTCACTATGATGCAGTAATAATTTAACTAATCTTATTGGTATTACAATATATGATTGCTAGCTCATAAGCCGAAGTTTATTAGGTTGCATCAAACAGCAATCCAAATGTTTTCTTTAAATCTTTGAATTTTCACCTGAATTTGTTTGTGTACAGTTTTAAGTGCTTTATAAAAAAATAAGCCAATCTCTTATCTCTTTTTTTAATAATTATAGTTTCACTCTAGAAATAGACAATTAATACACTTTTCTGAACGTTGTATAAAGTATCTTCATCATAATTTCCCATCACCTTAGTAGTAGTCGTGGATTCGAGTATTTTCATGATTGACTTACTTGTTACTAATATTGAACCAGCAAAATTAAGTATATCGAAATTCGTACATTACATAACATTGAGTTTCTCTTTAAGAATACATACTTCTAATGTTATGGAACACAGTAGTTTAGTAAATTAGAGCATATCAAACTTGAAAACCAATAGGTCACAAATTCCAACTATTCTACAAAAGACTTTTATTTAGATGCTGATTAAAATATTCAAATACATAGTTACTCACTTATGATATTCTATTTTAAGGAAGTAGTTTCATTCATTCAATTATCTAAACACTTAAAGAACTTAAACACAAGTATCATCACTACTAAAAATATCTTTACTTGGTAAAAATTAATCACTATAAATCTTAAATTGTAATAATAAATACTTCTTTTATGGTTATATTTTTTGTTTCAAAAAACATTGTTGAATAAATTTTTAAAAAACATTCTCAGTCAATTAAATATAAAACTAGTTACTGTGATTGTTGCTTCATAATTTAAGTGTACTTCCTGTTTTAATTGTTTTCTTTCTGTGTTTCTATGTAACATGTTGATTTATGTCAATTGATAATACTAAATTAGAAAAAAAATATTAAATTTATATTATTTTAAAATAATGTATCATTTATTTCATTTTATGATGAATTTATTGAAATATTCGACAAGAGATATAAGTAGTAATTGTAGTTAGTAGATTAAAATTTCCTACTGTTAATAATGTTTTTAAAAGAAATACATTAATTTATTGATAATATATGTATATACCGGACTCGTCGAGATTTCGTAGGTGACATGCTTCGAAATTATCAGCAATAAATAACGCAGGTATGTGTATTCACTTATTGTCTTCCTCTAAAATCTAAAACCCGAAATCTCATCATACTTTTTTTGTTTATACTTGATTTTCTTTTTACTACAACTGATACTCTTACTATATCTACTACTCTGGAATTTGTGTTAAAATAAATTTTATCTCATTAAGCTAATGTATTATGACGATTTAAACTGATTTACATGTGTCAGGTTTTACGTTTTGTATGACTCACTGACTGATACACAGCACTTATAATACTGATATTGTTTTTAAAAGAAGAAATAAATTTTGTTATAATAGATTAAACAAATGTAACGTTGTGTATCATGCCTTCATTCTTGATAAGATTTATACAATAAATATCAGCAAATACACCTTATAATGTGAATAAACGTACAAACACGTTACTTTGACGAATTATATGTATCTGTGCATACATGTATGTAATAATGATTAGTTATATTTGGAATATTATTGTCCAATTAATTGATTTATATGGTACACAATACCTTTATAACCTAATTAGAGAAGTGATGATGATCACTTTGTATACATATTTCATGGATTTTTCTATAATTAAGACATTTACTTGTCGTCTGAATGTTAGTCACTTAGCTTTATGTAAATAGATTTTAGTCATCTAAATAATGAATAAGTTGTACGCATAAATTATGTATGCGCACCTTGAAGATTATATTTGAATAAGATAGATGGAGAGAGGGACCACCGACTACATCTGTATACTATTATAACTAATATAGAATTCGTCTTGAGAAAGGTTAGATTTCGTCAAAGTGAAGTGTAGTATTTGTCAGTAAAGTTAAAGTAAACTGCTTTCAGAATTTCTTGGTTAACTTGATGGATATTTATTTCCTTTGTTTTAATGCTTGATCGTTTCTTTTGGTATAAGTTGCTCAAGTTTTCAGTAACATGCTCTGATTGCGTGTAATTGTTTTTAGTTTTCTGTTTAGCCTTAGTGAATCGGTCATATTACAGTTTAAAGATAAGTCTTATTCAATAAGTGATATCAACTATAGAATTATTGAAAACTAGAACTATGACTTAAAATGTGAGCTATGATATACGTCATATGAATCAGTTTATCGGTCAAGCAGAGATCAGTATTGTCAGTTGATCATTAGATTTTCAAAAAATGAAATGGTACTGTTCGATGCCTGAAATCTAGAATACAATGGGTAAAACATGAATTTGATATTTTCCTAAAGGTGATTATGAATAATCTACCACTGTTTTTCCGCAAGTTACGCGATGAAATAGTTCATTCTCAGTTGGATTTGCCATTAGTTCTTCAGTTCTAATATTATTTCAAGCTTTCCACAACGAGAATATAATTTATGGACGACCTTCAAGCAATGCTAACGGGACTTTGAGAAAATTCACCTACTTACTGGGGTCTAAGGAGGGTTATAAATTATTTTGAGGAATTAGGGTTTAAAGTTTAAAGTTAGGATTAGTAATTAGAGTTAGGTTTTTCATCATCAACCGACATCAACTATAACGCCAAAATGTTATTTAACCATATGGATAAATGTATTTCATCTTAAAATTCAAATCTTGCTATTTTAAATCTATTTGGTTCGTCTATATGATATGGTTTATATTCGTTATTTCTGAATTTCTTTATCTGCATTTGACCATTTTTTAATATCATTCATGAT